TTTTTTTTTTTTGGAAAAAAGAAGTAGAAATTTGAGTAAAGATCGGTGAGCCATTTCAGCCATCCCTCTGCTGTTAACGTTTGTGAACAGTAGCATATATTAATTTACTTTTTTTTTTTTTTTTTTGGAAAAAAGAAGTAGAAATTTGAGTAAAGATCGGTGAGCCATTTCAGCCATCCCTCTGCTGTTAACGTTTGTGAACAGTAGCAGGGATAACTTTGCCTTAACTTTTATAGAGCTTTTTGATGTCTATCAATAAACTCTAAATACTCTAACTCTTTATTTCATCTTGGTGTCCTGTCCTCGGAAGGGGTGTGTCAACTGTAAGCCTAGGCCAGGGAACCCTTTGGTGTGGCTTGAAGAGCCTCTGGGAAGGAATGTGAGGGTGGCAAGCAAGGTTTCTTTTTTCTGGCTCTCTTTTTACAAGGGACGGTCACCCTCCTAGTCTGTTTTTGTGGCTCTGAGTTCGTTAGTGGTCTGTCTTTCAATTCTTTGTCTGACTGGTCCCAGAACGGGCTGTCAAAAGCTCCAGTGCACTTTGAAATGTTACGTAGGACCTCACGATGTGTGCTGTCTCCAGGCCAGCTTTTCCGGCTCAGAAACACCCTTTCTCCTCCACTTTCAACACTTTACCATGGCAATCATTCAAAAAAAAAGAGAGAGAGAGAGAGAAAATGCCTAAAAGTTATTTACATCCAGTCAAAAATGGAAATGGCTTTTAGCGTTTGTTTGCATTCCTGCTAGAGAGGGCCTGTTCTCGTTTGCTCACACACCTGCCTATTTAAACAGCCGGGAAGGAGTTGGAGAAGAACAGAGAAGAATCGTTTCCAGGCTTTACTGATTTTCTGGCTGACCTCGTCTGAATCTCCTTAACCTTCCTTTCGTGAAGCCATCATTTCACACAATAGCAGGGATAAAGAAACTTACGGTTTTGATGTTGTTATCAAATGTTTAGAGCTGGTGGTTAGAGGAGACAAAAGCAGGCGGCTGTATTTGCATGGGGTTCTCTTCCTCCCCCCTTTGCTGTGTGCCTGCTCTTGTCATCAACTCAGGACAGGAAGCTGCTGCCCTCCTCAGCCCTCCCCAGCCCTCCCCAGACCCCTGAGGAGACAAGCTGCCTGCCACCTCTCTGGTTCTCTTCTTTGGGGACAGCCCTTTGCTCAAACCTGGTGGCTGTGAACTAACGGTGAAGCCCGTGGCTGCCGTGACCTGTCGCATCCCTGGTTTGGACTCCAATTTCAGCTTCATTATGCCCATGCGTACCTGCGGGGCAATCTCAGGGACAGCAAGGAAACTTGATGGACAGAGAAACAAAATGAATTTCACAGACTCCAGTAAGCCACCCTGATGACCTTAGTATAAAGGGCACGGACAACGGCGGCAGCCTCCCAGGTAAGACAGGCTACTGTGAGGCCTCTCCCGGGTCCTGGTTCTGAAACTGGTGAACGTGAACCTTCTGTACACAAGACCAGCAAACGTGAAATGGCAGTAGCCATGAGGGGCTCTTCCCGGCCTCCTCACAACATGCAGATAAAGGCAGCGCAAGGTGAAGAGGCTCTTGGTAATTGAGGCCTGGAGGCGACCAGCAGCATCCCTGACTCTACCCATTCCCAGGACCTCGGTCACTGGTGCCAGATCCCCTTAGGATTCCCCGAGTGACAGATGGCTCTCCCGGATGGCCAATCAGCACAGATGTGATCCCAGCCTTTAGAAGAACAATAGCTTTTGCTGGCACGTACAGTAACCTAAATTTGTCCAATTATGAATCCAACGAATGCCACGGTCTTGGGCTCCTATGGTCAATTTAAGGACAGACACACTACACAGAGTAGAAGATGAAGCAATGTGTTTGGAAGGCCTGAGTTCTGGTCCCGGCCCCTCCACCAAAGAGCTAAGGGACCTTGGCCATGTCCTTTCCCCACTCTAGGCCTCAGGGTCCTCATCTGTATTGATTATAGCCATGGGGCTTGAAGGCCCCTAATCCTTGTGTCACCGACATGTCAGTTTGATTACTCTGCCCTTGGAGAGCCTACGGAAGTTCCCTTAAACTTGAACCTCCTTGTGGGGAGACCCCATCCTTCCAGTCTCTGGGGATTGAAGGAGGAAGAGGAGGAGGCTGGTGGCTCCTTCACCTCCTATTTCTGGTCATTTCCCCCTCTTACTGCTTGTGTGTGCCAGCCTGCCCTGTGATGCTCTAACACGGGCTTTGCTCTTTCACTGAGTTCCCCAACAACCATTCACACACAAAGAATTCCTAGCACAAGGCTTCCATGCGGGAGGCATGCTTAAAACATGTGGGATGAAAATGAGCAAACCCTAAAGATTTGATAGGAGACACCCCAGTCCTTGAAAGCTCTTCCCACCAACCTGCAGCCTCGGGACACACAAGTCAGGCCTCATTCTCCCTCCCCACACCCTGGTTCCTCTCAGGAATAAAAGCAAATCCTTCCCACCCTCCACCCTTTCCTACCGGCTCTGCTTTTTCCTTCCAGACCCTCGACAAGCCTCATATGCTCCCTCTCCAGCGGCCCAATACCATACATTCCTTGATGTAGTTAGTTCCCTTGTAGGAGCAGTTGTGGTGCCAGCTGTTATATTAACACAACCACACACACACACACACACACACACACACACACAGAGGCACAGTTAATCCGGTTAGTCTTATAAATCCTCAATATTTTGATTTAACAAGAATTGGTTGAGTACCCACTGTGCTTGGCACACAGCTACTTGCAGTGAGCTCTAAAAATGATGTATCCAAATTGGCACCTACTCAGGTGGGAAAACAAGATTAAAACACACAGAGCCCTGATTATAATTAATTGGCAAAATGTGTGCTGGAGAGGTGAGGCGAGGGAAGAACCAAGTGGATACCAGGAGATCTTCACAGAGGAGATAAAACTTGCCAGAGCCCCAACAAGGAGGCTTCCTGTACCAAGAAAACAGGTTATTCTTAGAGTCTGAGAAGCAGATGCATCACCCTCTGAGATGTGGAGTGATGGTCTCTGCATTTACAGCCTTTGCTGGGAAGTTTATTGTCATCCCACGTATGTTTGCTCCAGCACAGACATGGTACTGGTCCTCACCCAGTTTCCCCCTGTTCTCCTTTCTGTTGAGCACTTATTAGAAGCCAGGCACTGTGGAGTTATGTTCTAGATAGCTCGGCGACAGGAGAGGTAGGTTGGTGGAATCTTATGCACTGGAATCACCTGCTAGTGGGAACAGGCACTTGGGCTCTAGTTGTCAGCCCAGGTGCTTGGGTCAGTGGGACGTGTCTATCAGAGCATGACAGGGTCAGAGTATGGCCAGTGAGTGTACAATCAGGGGAAGATGAAGAGAGGCTCCCAGCAGCGTGTACTCACTTTGTCATCCAATCTTCCACTGGTCTTTTATAGAATGCTCAGTATGTGCCAGGGGACAGGAGAGGGGGTAACTTTCATCCCTCCCTCGCCTGCAGGGAACTTGCAGGTCTTATAAATCCTGCATGGTGACTACTATGATAGGAAAGGCTAATACAGCCTAAGAGGCACTAAAGAAAAGATTCTAACCCTCTAGATCTCTGGGTCATAAGAGAAGCCTTCACAAGAGAAGTGATCTTGGGAAAAGGAATACCAAAAATCTATGCAGAAATAGATGTGGAATCTACAAGGTCTAACTATGTTAAAGAGTCTTGAATCTTCCAGAAGTAGAAGTTCAACGTGGCTGGCCTAAGAGTACTAAGGTGCAGTAAATGAGATGAGAGATGTAGGGTCATGAGGCATCCACAGAGGTTGGGTCTTTGGTAAACCGTGTTTGGCTTTTCTCCCACAGCCTTGGGGTCCAACTGGAGCTTTTAAACATGTGGCATCAGAGGTTCACATTGTCTCCTAGAGAACTCTAGGAAGGGGCTGGTAAACAGCAATATAGACGGGAAAGTGGTACAATGCCCAAGAGAGATATGATATCTGGAGGCAGAACCTGTGGCCTCCGGGCTACATGTGGCCTTCTGGATCTGTGTGTGCAAACTTTTGACTGAATCCAGATTTTACAGAATAAATTGTTGTAATAAAGGGATTTGTTCTGTAAAGTTTGGATTTGGTCTAGGGGCTGCACTCAGGGATCTGGAGGGCCACATGTGGCCTTGAGGCCCCAGGTTCCCCACCCCAGCCAGCAGCCAGGCTTACCCTGGTCTAGCAGTTGCTTCATAACATTTAAATACCATCAGTTAAGAACGCAATAGTGTTGTTATCAGTGTACTTTC